ACAAACTTGTCAGTTCTCTACAAACTTATCAGTTCTCTACAAACTTGTCAGTTCTCTACAAACTTGTCAGCTATCTACAAACTTGTCAGCTCTCTACAAACTTGTCAGTTCTCTACAAACTTGTCAGTTCTCTACAAACTTCTACAAACTTGTCAGTTCTCTACAAACTTGTCAGTTCTCTACAAACTTATCAGTTCTCTACAAACTTCTACAAACTTGTCAGCTATCTACAAACTTGTCAGCTCTCTACAAACTTGTCAGCTCTCTACAAACTTCTACAAACTTGTCAGTTCTCTACAAACTTGTCAGTTCTCTACAAATTTGTCAGCTCTCTACAAACTTCTACAAACTTGTCAGCTATCTACAAACTTGTCAGTTCTCTACAAACTTGTCAGTTCTCTACAAACTTGTCAGTTCTATACAAACTTGTCAGTTCTCTACAATCTTGTCAGTTCTCTACAAACTTGTCAGTTCTCTACAAACTTCTACAAACTTGTCAGTTCTCTACAAACTTGTCAGTTCTCTACAAACTTGTCAGCTCTCTACAAACATGTCAGTTCTCTACAAACTTGTCAGTTCTCTACAAACTTGTCAGCTCTCTACAAACTTGTCAGTTCTCTACAAACTTCTACAAACTTGTCAGCTCTCTACAAACTTGTCAGCTCTCTACAAACTTGTCAGTTCTCTACAAACTTCTACAAACTTGTCAGCTCTCTACAAACTTGTCAGTTTTCTACAAACTTGTCAGTTCTCTACAAACTTCTACAAACTTGTCAGCTCTCTACAAACTTCTACAAACTTGTCAGCTATCTACAAACTTGTCAGCTCTCTACAAACTTGTCAGTTATCTACAAACTTGTCAGTTCTCTACAAACTTGTCAGCTATCTACAAACTTGTCAGCTCTCTACAAACTTGTCAGCTATCTACAAACTTGTCAGTTCTCTACAAACTTCTACAAACTTGTCAGCTCTCTACAAACTTGTCAGCTCTCTACAAACTTGTCAGTTCTCTACAAACTTGTCAGTTCTCTACAAACTTCTACAAACTTGTCAGCTCTCTACAAACTTGTCAGTTCTCTACAAACTTCTACAAACTTGTCAGCTATCTACAAACTTGTCAGTTCTCTACAAACTTCTACAAACTTGTCAGCTCTCTACAAACTTGTCAGTTCTCTACAAACTTGTCAGCTATCTACAAACTTGTCAGCTCTCTACAAACTTGTCAGCTATCTACAAACTTGTCAGTTCTCTACAAACTTCTACAAACTTGTCAGTTCTCTACAAACTTGTCAGCTCTCTACAAACTTCTACAAACTTGTCAGCTATCTACAAACTTGTCAGTTCTCTACAAACTTGTCAGTTCTCTACAAACTTGTCAGCTCTCTACAAACTTGTCAGTTCTCTACAAACTTGTCAGTTCTCTACAAACTTGTCAGCTCTCTACAAACTTGTCAGTTCTCTTGCCAGAGGTTTCCCACAATCCAATGTTTTCATTTGAACGTTTTGTCAAAGCCTATTTCAGGCAAACATTCCGGCAAATCGTGCCGGTGAATAAGCCGGCTCGTGTTACCGGCTTCCGTTTTTGTCTTTGGGCATAAAGATCCGGTCACGTGACTAGGTGAAACAAACTGTGGCCGGGGTGTCGGGGGCGAGTTGGAGCAATGCCCGGAGTGTCGGGGGTGGGGGTGGAGCAATGCCCGGGGTGTCGGGGGTGGGGGTGGAGCAATGCCCGGGGTGTCGGGGGCGAGTTGGAGCAATGCCCGGAGTGTCGGGGGCGGAGCAATGCCCGGGGTGTCGGGGGCGGGGGTGGAGAAATGCCCGGGGTGTTGGGGGCGGGGGTGGAGAAATGCCCGGGGTGTCGGGGGCGGAGTTGGAGCAATGCCCGGGGTGTTGGGGGCGGGGGTGGAGAAATGCCCGGGGTGTCGGGGGCGGAGTTGGAGCAATGCCCGGGGGGGGGTGGAGGTGGAGCAATGCTCGGGGTGTCGGGGGCGGGGGTGGAGCAATGCCCGGGGTGAAACGGATATATGGGCATATATGGTGATTGTAGGGCGCCGCATACAGGGGGCATATATGGTGATTGTAGGGCGCCGCATACAGGGGGCATATATGGTGATTGTAGGGCGCCGCATATAGGGGGCGTATACGGTGATCTGTAAGGAAGTGTTTGCATGAGACGCCAGAGATATTCGACCAGCCAAAAACGTGCAGCTAATAGTGAACATTTTCAAACACGCCTTGTGTTCTGTGTTGTGCCGGCTGGTTACAGGCACTAGATAGTTGTGTGTTGTGCCGGCTTATTACAAGCACTAGATAGTTGTGCCGGCTGATTACAAGCACTAGATAGTTGTGTGTTGTGCCGGCTGATTACAAGCACTAGATAGTTGTGTGTTGTGCCGGCTGATTACAGGCACTAGATAGTTGTGTGTTGTGCCGGCTGATTACAGGCACTAGATAGTTGTGTGTTGTGCCGGCTGATTACAAGCACTAGATAGTTGTGTGTTGTGCCGGCTGAGGCACTAGATAGTTGTGTGTTGTGCCGGCTGATTACAGGCACTAGATAGTTGTGTGTTGTGCCGGCTGATTACAAGCACTAGATAGTTGTGTGTTGTGCCGGCTGGGCACTAGATAGTTGTGTGTTGTGCCGGCTGATTACAAGCACTAGATAGTTGTGTGTTGTGCCGGCTGGGCACTAGATAATTGTGTGTTGTGCCGGCTGATTACAAGCACTAGATAGTTGTGTGTTGTGCCGGCTGATTACAAGCACTAGATAGTTGTGTGTTGTGCCGGCTGATTACAGGCACTAGATAGTTGTGTGTTGTGCCGGCTGATTACAAGCACTAGATAGTTGTGTGTTGTGCCGGCTGATTACAAGCACTAGATAGTTGTGTGTTGTGCCGGCTGATTACAGGCACTAGATAGTTGTGTGTTGTGCCGGCTGATTACAAGCACTAGATAGTTGTGTGTTGTGCCGGCTGATTACAAGCACTAGATAGTTGTGTGTTGTGCCGGCTGATTACAAGCACTAGATAGTTGTGTGTTGTGCCGGCTGATTACAAGCACTAGATAGTTGTGTGTTGTGCCGGCTGATTACAAGCACTAGATAGTTGTGCCGGCTGATTACAAGCACTAGATAGTTGTGTGTTGTGCCGGCTGATTACAAGCACTAGATAGTTGTGTGTTGTGCCGGCTGATTACAGGCACTAGATAGTTGTGTGTTGTGGCTTCTGATTACAGGCACTAGATAGTTGTGTGTTGTGCCGGCTGATTACAAGCACTAGATAGTTGTGTGTTGTGCCGGCTGAGGCACTAGATAGTTGTGTGTTGTGCCGGCTGATTACAGGCACTAGATAGTTGTGTGTTGTGCCGGCTGATTACAAGCACTAGATAGTTGTGTGTTGTGCCGGCTGGGCACTAGATAGTTGTGTGTTGTGCCGGCTGATTACAAGCACTAGATAGTTGTGTGTTGTGCCGGCTGGGCACTAGATAATTGTGTGTTGTGCCGGCTGATTACAAGCACTAGATAGTTGTGTGTTGTGCCGGCTGATTACAAGCACTAGATAGTTGTGTGTTGTGCCGGCTGATTACAAGCACTAGATAGTTGTGTGTTGTGCCGGCTGATTACAGGCACTAGATAGTTGTGTGTTGTGCCGGCTGATTACAAGCACTAGATAGTTGTGTGTTGTGCCGGCTGATTACAAGCACTAGATAGTTGTGTGTTGTGCCGGCTGATTACAGGCACTAGATAGTTGTGTGTTGTGCCGGCTGATTACAAGCACTAGATAGTTGTGTGTTGTGCCGGCTGATTACAAGCACTAGATAGTTGTGTGTTGTGCCGGCTGATTACAAGCACTAGATAGTTGTGTGTTGTGCCGGCTGATTACAAGCACTAGATAGTTGTGTGTTGTGCCGGCTGATTACAAGCACTAGATAGTTGTGTGTTGTGCCGGCTGATTACAAGCACTAGATAGTTGTGTGTTGTGCCGGCTGAGGCACTAGATAGTTGTGCCGGCTGGGCACTAGAAAGTTGTGTGTTGTGCCGGCTGATTACAAGCACTAGATAGTTGTGTGTTGTGCCGGCTGATTACAGGCACTAGATAGTTGTGTGTTGTGCCGGCTGATTACAGGCACTAGATAGTTGTGTGTTGTGCCGGCTGGGCACTAGATAGTTGTGTGTTGTGCCGGCTGATTACAAGCACTAGATAGTTGTGTGTTGTGCCGGCTGATTACAGGCACTAGATAGTTGTGTGTTGTGCCGGCTGGGCACTAGATAGTTGTGTGTTGTGCCGGCTGATTACAAGCACTAGATAGTTGTGTGTTGTGCCGGCTGGGCACTAGATAGTTGTGTGTTGTGCCGGCTGATTACAAGCACTAGATAGTTGTGTGTTGTGCCGACTGGGCACTAGATAGTTGTGTGTTGTGCCGGCTGATTACAAGCACTAGATAGTTGTGTGTTGTGCCGGCTGATTACAGGCACTAGATCTAGATAGTTGTGTGTTGTGCCGGCTCATCAGATACTAGCACTTGTATGTTGGATGTTCCGCCGAATGACCAGTGGTCTGTTTGTTCAAATTGAAAGTTGAAGTGTGGGAGCAGGGATTAGAGAGGTGTGAGGAACAGGACAATGGATGGGCCGTGTAATCCGCTCTTTGAAATACTTGGCATTTTTTGGCCGGCAAACACGCCGAGATTTGCGTCGGAGTGAAATTTTTCGATCCGGACACTCAGGGGCTCTAAGCACGTCAACACCAGCGCGTGCGGCTATGACAGGAGGCGGGGCCACGGCAGACGCTCCACTCGCGACGTCCCCGCGTGGCAGGTGGGGGGCGGGGCTAAGTCAGCGACTGTCCAGTGAGAGAGGCAGGTTGGACCGTGCGCAGATTTGTGTGCCGTCAGGTCAGGCGTGATCAGCTTAGCTGCCCCCCCCCCCCCTCCTCCTCCTGTAGCCGCGCTGGATTATAAAGACATATTGCTGGCGCTCTCATTAGGCGTACACACACGGGGACGAGGCCGTAGCTTTCTTGTCTGCTGATTACTTGCACTTCTAGGCGCGCTTCATCATCAGAAACAAGAGATTAATCCCGCCATGCCCCGCGCGCTTTATCCTCGCGTGTAATCTTCTCAGCCGGATAAACCCCATTCTGGATTTGTGGACTAGTGTTTTCTTAATCAATTAATCCAGTCTAAACGTTCTACGGTGGTTTCGTACCCCTGACTTCTGAATGACGAGGTTCTACTGCCCGACTTGTGGTGAATCCCACGGAGAGTGTCTGTGTCCTAAATGTAAGTGCTGTGTTTTTTTCTTGGGTAGCCACGGGGAATTAGGGAACATGGACCGACACGGGGAATTAGGGAACATTGACCGACACCGGGAATTAGTGAACATGGACCGACACCGGGAATTAGGGAACATGGACCGACACTAGTAATTAGGGAACATGGACCGACATGGGGAAATAGGGAACATGGACCGACATGGGGAAATAGGGAACATGGACCGACACCGGGAATTAGGGAACATGGACCGACACTAGTAATTAGGGAACATGGACCGACATGGGGAAATAGGGAACATGGACCGACATGGGGAAATAGGGAACATGGACCGACACCGGGAATTAGGGAACATGGACCGACACGGGGAATTAGGGAACATGGACCGACACCGGGAATTAGGGAACATGGACCGACACGGGGACTTAGGGAACATGGACCGACACGGGGACTTAGGGAACATGGCCCTTGAATTAGGGAACATGGACTACCGTTCATTTCACTAACACACTGGAGTTTTTTCCTTCGATGGTTTGTTTTGTGTCATATGTTTTACAAGCTTTTATTTAACTTGCTTTCTCTACCGTCAGTCTGTCTAGATCGAAACGCCCGAGCGATATTACGGGCACTTCTAACTGACAGACACGGTTAATTTTTTATGATTTAATTAAAATTTTGACCAAATTAGTCGACAGTCTTATCCAACTATTCCGCACAATTATACAAGCGTTTTCACGTTCATTAGGTACGGAATAGGTTTTAGACATGCGACTCTTATTTAAATTTTAAAAAAATAAATACTGAAAATAAAATTCATATAAAACGTTCTTAATAACAAGCTTTTATGTAATAATGCACTAAAAAGTAGAAAATAAATGATTTTCTTTAAATATATAATACTACACTATTTAAATTGCTATAAAGAAAAGCGTGGATCTCCTCTTTAATATTGGTCAAGGTATCCAAAAGATAATAAAGTGACCCACGCTTTTCTTTATAGTTATTTAAATAGTAGTGTATATATTTAAAGAAAATGATTTATTTTCTACTTTTTAGTGCATTATAACATAAAAGCCTGTTATTAAAACGTTTTTTATGAATTTTTTGTTGGTCCGTCTGTTATGTGTTGTTTATGGGGTCTGTAATTTGTCGCATGGCCGTCGGTCATACGTGTCTACGTATTAAACAAACTAATTATAACATTAACATTCTAAACCTTTATTCAGCAAACTACACATTTGTATCAAAGTATCCATCAGTGTACTAAACATTATAGCAAAGTCCTAAACATTTTTATTATTACAAGCTTTTTTTAAACTTACTGTCTCTTTCGTCAGTCCAGATCGAAACGCCCTTGCGAAATTTCGGGCACTTCTGACAGATACGGTTTAAAGTTGGCACTTAGGTCAAGACATGAAGACATGCAATCTGACATTAAATTTGACTATTTTTTTAAATGAATTAATTAAAATTGTGTCCAAATTAGTAGGCAGTCTTCTCCAACTATTCCGCACTATTATACACGCGTTATCACGTTCAATAGGTGCGCATTGGTTTTAAGTCTTGCAACTGTAAATTTTAAAAAAAATAAAAAAAACGGGAAAAAATTCATAAAAACGTTTTAATAACAAGCTGTTAATAATGCACTAAAATGTAGAAAATAAATTATAGACTACTATTTAAATAACTATAAAGAAAAGCATGGGTCTCTTTTCTTATAAGTAAATGTATCCAATAGATACTAAAGTGACCCACGCTTTTCTTATACTTTTTTAAAAAGTAGGGTATAATTTATTTTCTACTTTTTTAGTGCATTATTACATAAAAGGTTGTTATTAAAATGTTTTTATGAATTTTTTAAACTTACTTTCTCGGTCTGTCTGTCGTCAGTCTAGTTCGAAATGCCCGAGCGAAATTTCGGGCATTTCTAACTGACAGATACAGTTCAAAGCTCGCACGTGGGTCAAGACATGAAGAGAATTAAATGTGACTTAATTTGATGCCTAATTAATTTTGTATGAATTCATTAAAATTTTGACCAAATTAGTAGGCAGTCTTACCCAACTATTCCGCACTATTATACGCGCGTTATCATTTTCTTTGGGTGCGCAATAGTTTTTAGTCATGCAACTCTATTGTAAATACAAAATTTAAAGTACTGAATTTTTTTCATAAAAAACGTTTTAATAACAAGTTTTTATGTAATAATGCGCTAAAAAGTACAAAACGAATAATTTTCTTTAAATATATAATAATATACTACTATTTAAATAACTATAAAGAAAAGCGTGGGTCACTTTTTTATCTTTTGGATACCTTGACTAATATTAAAGAGGAGATCCACGCTTTTCTTTATAGCAATTTAAATAGTGTAGTATTATATATTTAAAGAAAATCATGTATTTTCTACTTTAAAGTGCATTATTACATAAAAGCTTGTTATTAAAACTTTTTAATGATTTTTAAACAATTCTTTACTAAACATTACATCAAAGTCCTAAACATTTTATTTCTCTACTAAACATTATAGTCTCAGTACTAATATAGTGGGTTGTCTATTTGGACTAAATCATGACAACCATTCTAGAGGGTTGTAGTCCAAACCAATAAACCAATACAAATCGATGAAACTTTTTAATCCATTCGTATTTAGGTATTTTACATGCCGTAAGTCATCAAGTCATCGAGTCCACATACAAGCAATGTGGCGGCATCTATAGTTCAACATGGGTTGGCCACAAACATAACTAACTGGGTTGGCCACAAACATAACTGACTGGGTTGGCCACAAACATAACTGATTGGGTTGGCCACAAACATAACTGACTGGGTTGGCCACAAACATAACTGATTGGGTTGGCCACAAACATAACTGGGTTGGCCACAAACATAACTGACTGGGTTGGCCACAAACATAACTGGGTTGGCCACAAACATAACTGGGTTGGCCACAAACATAAATAACTGGGTTGGCCACAAACATAACTGACTGGGTTGGCCACAAACATAACTGGGTTGGCCACAAACATAACTGGGTTGGCCACAAACATAACTGATTGGGTTGGCCACAAACATAACTGACTGGGTTGGCCACAAACATAACTGGGTTGGCCACAAACATAACTGGGTTGGCCACAAACATAACTGATTGGGTTGGCCACAAACATAACTAACTGGGTTGGCCACAAACATAACTGGGTTGGCCACAAACATAACTGATTGGGTTGGCCACAAACATAACTGACTGGGTTGGCCACAAACATAACTGACTGGGTTGGCCACAAACATAACTGGGTTGGCCACAAACATAACTGGGTTGGCCACAAACATAACTGGGTTGGCCACAAACATAACTGGGTTGGCCACAAACATAACTGACTGGGTTGGCCACAAACATAACTGGGTTGGCCACAAACATAACTGATTGGATTGGCCACAAACATAACTGATTGGGTTGGCCACAAACATAACTGGGTTGGCCACAAACATAACTAACTGGGTTGGCCACAAACATAACTGACTGGGTTGGCCACAAACATAACTCACTGGGTTGGCCACAAACAGGGTTGCTATTGTCGGGGTTGTTGGCTGAAACAGGCCGACTATCCGGCATTGCGGTTAACCGGCATTCCGGCTACTTGTGTGAGCCAGGTAAACATCTTGGCGTGGTAAATCAGGCAACATCTGTCCGACCACGTGACCGCGGTACCGCTGGGCAGATCAATGTTGTATATGCCCGCTGGGCAGATCAATGTTGTATATGCCCGCTGGGCAGATCAATGTTGTATATGCCCGCAACAGACGGCTGGCCCATCACCAACAATTGTTGTATGTATTGGTTCATGATCGGCAGCCCGGGATGGGGGGGGGGGGGGGGGGGGAGACAACCGCTCTAACCGGCAGCCGGCATTATTACTGTAATATAGGACCACAATATAGTAGCAGTACTACAGACATCTATCTATATATATATAAGCGCGCCGAGCAGTCCCCTCTCTTCCTCTCTAGGCATATCGCAACCACCCTCACATGGTCTGGTGAGCTGTAGTTCACGCTAAATGTTTACATCGTAGAGCCGGGTTTAGTGACGGTTATTAGGGGCAGATAATTTAGTTTAAAACTATTTTATACTTAGGGGAATAACTAAGTGGTGGCTGCTTTCACGTGGGGGGGGGGGGGGGGGGGGGGAAGGAGGTTTTAGTGTTTTAAAACAAATATTTTCAGTGGCAGCATTCAGCAGAATTCACAAATTATGAATTACTAAAAAGTAGAAAATAAACTAAATAGCGGCGTATGATACGCCGCGGGTCGGCTCGTACAATATAATAGCAGTACTACATACATATATACAATATAATAGCAGTACTACATACATGTATACAATATAATAGCAGTACTACATACATGTATACAATATAATAGCAGTACTACATACATGTATACAATATAATAGCAGTACTACATACATGTATACAATAAAGCAGCAGTACTACATACATGTATACAATAAAGTAGCAGTACTACTTACATGTATACACTATAGTAGCAGTACTACATACATGTATACAATATAATAGCAGTACTACATACATGTATACAATAAAGCAGCAGTACTACATACATGTATACAATAAAGTAGCAGTACTACTTACATGTATACACTATAGTAGCAGTACTACATACATGTATACAATATAATAGCAGTACTACATACATGTATACAATATAATAGCAGTACTACATACATGTATACAATAAAGTAGCAGTACTACTTACATGTATACACTATATTAGCAGTACTAGTTACATGTATACACTATATTAGCAGTACTAGTTACATGTATACACTATATTAGCAGTACTAGTTACATGTATACACTATAGTAGCAGTACTACATACATGTATACACTATAAGTAGCAGTACTAGTGTCAAAAGTATCAACTTTTTGTTGTTGTTAAATTTCAGACTGGCAAGGAGAAGCTTATCACAGCCAAGGTGAAGGTCGAGCACACGCGGCCATCTTTCCTCACTCACAGCACGTGTTGCATCACAGTCTGGATCACGTGATCGACCCTCAGCAGGTTTGTGCTCTCCCTCATGGCCTCTCTCATGGCCACTCTCTCATGGCCTCTCTCATGGCCTCTCTCATGGCCTCTCTCATGGCCTCTCCCTCATGGCCTCTCTCATGGCCTCTCTCATGGCCTCTCTCATGGCCTCTCTCATGGCCTCTCCCTCATGGCCTCTCTCATGGCCTCTCTCATGGCCTCTCTCTCATGGCCTCTCTCAAGGCCTCTCTCATGGCCTCTCTCTCATGGCCTCTCTCATGGCCTCTCTCATGGCCTCTCTCATGGCCTCTCTCTCATGGCCTCTCTCTCATGGCCTTTCCCTCAAAAACCTTCATCACTATTGTAAATTTATTAACTGAAATGTATATAACGATATACCAAATTTATTAACTGAAATGTATATAACGAGATACCATCATACTATTCTAATGATTAAGTATCACCCTGATGTTCTAACGATGATGTTCTAACGATGATGTTCTAACGATGATGTTCTAACGATGATGTTCTAACGATGATGTTCTAACGATGATGTTCTAACGATGATGTTCTAACGATGATGTTCTAACGATGATGTTCTAACGATGATGTTCTAACGATGATGTTCTAACGATATTGTTCTAACGATGATGTTCTAACGATGATGTTCTAACGATGATGTTCTAACGATGATGTTCTAACGATGATGTTCTAACGATGATGTTCTAACGATGATGTTCTAACGATGATGTTCTAACGATGATGTTCTAACGATATTGTTCTAACGATGATGTTCTAACGATGATGTTCTAACGATGATGTTTTAACGATGATGTTGACTGTTTCAGATCCACAACTCCTCCCACCAGCTGAGTGACGTCGTGTCCCCGCCCACACACGACTCACGCGCCATGGCCAGCATGGCCTACCCACCTACGTCACATGGCCATGCGCACGTGCACGGCCATGGCCTGGGCCACAGCCACTCCCCCAAGCCCGGCCCCTACAGCGTCAACGGCCTGTCCCTGAGCACACCCAACGTGGACCTGCTGCACCCGGCCATGGGCTACCAAAACGACATGTTCTGTAAGTCACCCCAAACTTTACCTCAAACTTTACCTCAACAAACTTTACCTCAACAAACTTTACCTCAACAAACTTTACCTCAACAAACTTTATCTCAAACTTTACCTCAAACTTTACCTCAAACTTTACCTCAACAAACTTTAACAAACTTTACCCCAAACTTTACCTCAACAAACTTTACCTCAACAAACTTTACCTCAACAAACTTTACCTCAACAAACTTTACCTCAACAAACTTTACCTCAACAAACTTTACCTCAACAAACTTTACCTCAACAAACTTTACCTCAACAAACTTTACCTCAACAAACTTTACCTCAACAAACTTTACCTCAACAAACTTTACCTCAACAAACTTTACCTCAAACTTTACCTCAAACTTTACCTCAACAAACTTTAACAAACTTTACCCCAAACTTTACCTCAACAAACTTTACCTCAACAAACTTTACCTCAACAAACTTTACCTCAACAAACTTTACCTCAACAAACTTTACCTCAACAAACTTTACCTCAACAAACTTTACCTCATCAAACTTTACCCCAAACTTTACCTCAACAAACTTTACCTCAACAAACTTTACCTCAACAAACTTTACCTCAACAAACTTTACCTCAACAAACTTTACCTTAACAAACTTTACCCCAAACTTTACCTCAAAAACTTTACCGCAACAAACTTTATCTCAAACTTTACCTCAACAAACTTTACCTCAACAAACTTTACCTCAACAAACTTTACCTCAACAAACTTTACCTCAACAAACTTTACCTCAACAAACTTTACCTCAACAAACTTTACCTCAACAAACTTTACCTCAAACTTTACCCCAACAAACTTTACCCCAACAAACTTAACCTCAACAAACTTTACCCAAACTATTCTCTATCTACTTCCTCCCCTTCCCCCCCCCCCCCCCCCAACTTTTTTCTCCCTGACTTTACCCATTAGCTTTACGCAAACTCCCCCCCCCCCCCACCACAACCCCCCTCCCTCACAAGGCCCCTCCCCCCACAAACTCCCCCCCCCCCATCTCTCACAAGTTCCTCCCATACAATCTTACCCACCCCTCCAAAAAAACTTTACCCCTTTATCTCCCCCCCCCCCACAAACGTGCCCCCCCCCCCTCTTTACACACATTGACCGGCACACAAACTCTCCTCCCCCCCCCCCCCCCCGTTTTTACCAGTCAACTTTACGGTGCTGTGATTGGTTGGCTGTCAGTGGTCAGCTGGTTGTGACGTGTCACTGGTCAGCAGAGGTCAGTTAGGCAATAATGACCTTCATGCATGACCTTCTTAAATCAGTCGGGTACCAAATGTGGGTGAATGTTTATCGAAACCTTTGTAGATCAAGTTCTAAAAATAGTTGTGTACATAACCACACGTGTGTTGGCCGGGTGTGTACATGCGTGTGTGTGTCGCACGTTTAGCTCCGTGTGACGTGAGAGGTTTGAAGACTGCGTCCTATCGGATGAAAGTTTCTGTTTTTAGAGCACCCAGCTGTTGTAAGAACTAACTTGAAGTTTAATGATTTGAGCCGGCAGCCCCACAATCGCTTGTAAAGTGGGGGGGGGGGGGGGGTGTTGCAAAGCTGTTGCCCCGAGTTTCGAACTTGGTTACAAGACGAACCACGACACACGATATACGACACCAGTACACCGCGACACCAGTACACCACTACACCAGTACATCACGACACCAATACACCAGTACACCACGACACCAGTACATCACGACACCAATACACCAGTACACCACGACACCAGTACACCAAAACACCAGTACATCACGACACCAATACACCAGTACACCACGACACCAGTACACCACGACACCACGACACCAATACACCAGTACACCACGACACCAGTACACCACAACACCAAAACACCAGTACATCACAGCACCAATACACCAGTACACCACGAAACCACGACACCAAAACACCAGTACATCACGACACCACAACACCAGTACACCAAAACACCAGTACACCACGACACCAGTACACCAGTACACCACGACACACAACACCCGTACACCACGACACACAACACCAGTACACCACGACACCAGTACACCACGACATCAGTACACCACGACACACGACACCAGTACACCAGTACACCACGACATACGACACCAGTACACCACGACCCCAGTACACCACGACCCCAGTACACCACGACCCCAGTACACCACGACACTAGTACACCACGACACACGACACCAGTACACCACGACATACGACACCAGTACACCAATACACCAGTACACCACGACACCAGTACACCACGACACTAGTACACCAATACACCAGTACACCACGACACCAGTACACCACGACACCAGTACACCACGACACCAGTACACCACGACACCAAAACACCAGTACATCACGACACCACAACACCAGTACACCAAGAGGTGTACAGTGTGTGCGCTATGGTGAATGAGTTCGGCTACCATGATTATATCTCATGTCGGTATTTAGATGTGTGTTGTCACTTGCAACTTAGACATGGACGGCTAGACATTTGTTCACATGGACGGCTAGACATTTGTTCACATGGACGGCCAGACATTTGTTCACATGGACGGCCAGACATTTGTTCACATGGACGGCCAGACATTTGTTCACATGGACGGCTAGACATTTGTTCACATGGACGGCCAGACAATTGTTCACATGGACGGCCAGACATTTGTTCACATGGACGGCTAGACATTTGTTCACATGGACGGCTAGACAATTGTTCACATGGACGGCTAGACATTTGTTCACATGGACGGCCAGACAATTGTTCACATGGACGGCCAGACATTTGTTCACATGGACGGCTAGACATTTGTTCACATGGACGGCTAGACATTTGTTCACATGGACGGCTAGACATTTGTTCACATGGACGGCTAGACATTTGTTCACATGGACGGCTAGACAATTGTTCACATGGACGGCTAGACATTTGTTCACATGGACGGCTAGACATTTGTTCACATGGACGGCTAGACATCTAATAACCCAATACGACGGCCGGATTAAAATTTTGACTTTTTTTCATTTCCCCAGCTCCATGGGCGGCAGAACTTGATTGTAAGTTCGTTCGTTGTTTGTTCTATATCTACATTACCATCTTCAACCTACCATCACCAGCCTACCATCTTTACCATACCATCACCAGCCTACCATCTCCACCAAAACATTACCAGCATACCATCTCTACAATACTGTCACCATTATACCATCACCAGCCTACCAACTCTACCATGCCATCACCAGCCTACCATACTATCACCAGTATACCATCTCTAGCCTACCATCTCTATCATATCCAGCCTACCATCTCTACCATACAACACCACCCAACCATCTCTACCATACCATCTCTACCATACAATACCACCCAACCATCTCTACCATACCATCACCAGCCTACCATCTTTACCATCACGATCAACTCATGCAACAGTTGACAAATTCTGCCGCCCATGACAGCAGATCACGTTAAACCTAGCGCTTGTCACGTTAAACCTAGAGCCGGTCACGTTAAACGTAGCGCCGGTCACGTTAAACCTAGCGCCGGTCACGTTAAACCTAGCGCTTGTCACGTTAAACCTAGCGCCGGTCACGTTAAACCAAGAGCCGGTCACGTTAAACCTAGTGCCGGTCACGTTAAATATTTAACAGCATATGCATGCCGTTAAATTTGGTCTACTGGGCAATTTGTCGCCTAGAGGATTGTGTTTGTGGTTGTGTGGATTGTGTTTGTGGTGGTGTGGATTGTGTTTGTGGTTGTGTGGATTGTGTTTGTGGTGGTGTGGATTGTGTTTGTGGTGGTGTGGATTGTGTTTGTGGTGGTGTGGATTGTGTTTGTGGTGGTGTGGATTGTGTTTGTGGTGGTGTGGATTGTGTTTGTGGTTGTGTGGATTGTGTTTGTGGTGGTGTGGATTGTGTTTGTGGATTGTGTTTGTGGTGGTGTGGATTGTGTTTGTGGTTGTGTGGATTGTGTTTGTGGTTGTGTGGATTGTGTTTGTGGATTGTGTTTGTGGTGGTGTGGATTGTGTTTGTGGTGGTGTGGATTGTGTTTGTGGTTGTGTGGATTGTGTTTGTGGTGGTGTGGATTGTGTTTGTGGATTGTGTTTGTGGTGGTGTGGATTGTGTTTGTGGTTGTGTGGATTGTGTTTGTGGTGCTGTTGATTGTGTTTGTGGTGGTGTGGATTGTGTTTGTGGTGTTGTGGATTGTGTTTGTGGTGTTGTGGATTGTGTTTGTGGTGTTGTGGATTGTGTTTGTGGTGCTGTGGATTGTGGTTGTGGATTGTGTTTGTGGTTGTGTGGATTGTGTTTGTGGTGGTGTGGATTGTGTTTGTGGTGTAGTGGATTGTGTTTGTGGATTGTGTTTGTGGTGGTGTGGATTGTGCTTGTGGATTGTGTTTGTGGTGGTGTGGATTGTGGTTGTGGATTGTGTTTGTGGTGGTGTGGATTGTGGTTGTGGATTGTGTTTGTGGTGCTGTGGATTGTGTTTGTGGTGTTGTGGATTGTGTTTGTGGTGGTGTGGATTGTGGTTGTGGTGGTGTGGATTGTGTTTGTGGTGTTGTGGATTGTGTTTGTGGTGGTGTGGATTGTGCTTGTGGTTGTGTGGATTGTGTTTGTGGTGTTGTGGATTGTGTTTGTGGTGTTGTGGATTGTGTTTGTGGTGGTGTGGATTGTGTTTGTGGTGCTGTGGATTGTGTTTGTGGTGGTGTGGATTGTGCTTGTGGTTGTGTGGATTGTGTTTGTGGTGCTGTGGATTGTGTTTGTGGTTGTGTGGATTGTGGTTGTGGATTGCATTTGTGGTGCTGTGGATTGTGTTTGTGGTGGTGTGGATTGTGCTTGTGGATTGTGTTTGTGGTGTTGTGGATTGTGTTTGTGGTGGTGTGGATTGTGCTTGTGGTTGTGTGGATTGTGTTTGTGGTGTTGTGGATTGTGTTTGTGGTGCTGTAGATTGTGCTTGTATTGTTCCCCATTTGTAATGGAGCCTGAAATATCCCGACGTAATATTAGGTCGAATGTCGAGTTTCTTTCAGTCCGTTTGATAGCCCCCCCCCTCCCTTCCATTCTTGAGACCGGCCTTTTCTCTGTCGGCCTTTGACGGAATGTCTCCGGTGTTTTCTGGCGCCATTCATTCAGTCACGCCTCACACCCCCCGCCCTCAATGGGAAAATTGCATTTTGATCAGCCCGTCACTTAAGCACCGCTAGCAGGGCCGGGCTCGGCCTCGTGGAGAAATAATGGGCCGGGCCACGAGTCTTCTGAGGGGTGGGTTGCGGGGGGAGGGGGGGGGAGGTGTTAATCAGGCCGTGAACGGTTTGTTTGTTTTACTGTCTCAAGTGTCGCCTTCTCCCAGCTTGTCTTACCGTGGTTTCATGGCTTGCTTTCACGTGGGGAGGCTCTGCTTGGGGATGGGAACCGGAAGTCTCGGAGGTTCTGACGTCATCACGTTTCGGTGATGACCATACAAATGACGTCAACACACCAGACAAATGACGTCAAACACCAGACAAATGACGTCAACACACCAGACAAATGACGTCAACACACCAGACAAATGCCCCCTGACAAGAGCGTGTCGGACACATCAGTCCCTCCTCAACTTGCGCCCCCCCCCACCATTAAAACACAGCTAATGAGAGATCAATTAATGAGCCGATCTTCATTAGCCACCTCCCAATGTTTGCTTCTCCCATCAACCCAACAAAACTCTGGCAGGAGTGCTGGGGGGGGGCGTTGATGGACAGGATATGGGGACAAACAAAATGGCGGATTGATGAGTGCCATCCATTTGGTCACAAGATGAATGCTAGTCCGTGCTGTGTGTGTGTGGGGGGGGGGGGGGGCGTGACTTTAAGCATCGGACATTTGACCAAGTCAAACATTTGACTTAGTCAGAAAACAGCTTCAGTCAGACATATTGTGTGTCCACGGCTGATGTTGTGTGAGGCTGATGTTGTGTGTCCACGGCTGATGTTGTGTGTCCACGGCTGATGTTGTGTGAGGCTGATGTTGTGTGTCCACGGCTGATGTTGTGTGAGGCTGATGTTGTGTGTCCACGGCTGATATTGTGTGTCCACGGCTGATGTTGTGTGTCCACGGCTGATGATGTGTGTCCACGGCTGATGTTGTGTGAGGCTGATGTTGTGTGTCCACGGCTGATGATGTGTGTCCACGGCTGATGTTGTGGCTGATGTTGTGTGTCCACGGCTGATGATGTGTGTCCACGGCTGATGTTGCGTGTCCACGGCTGATGTTGTGGCTGATGTTGTGTCCACGGCTGATGATGTGTGTCCACGGCTGATGTTGTGTGAGGCTGATGTTGTGTGTCCACGGCTGATGTTGTGTGTCCACGGCTGATGTTGTGTGTCCACGGCTGATGTTGTGGCTGATGTTGTGTGTCCACGGCTGATGTTGTGTGTCCACGGCTGATGTTGTGGCTGATGTTGTGTGTCCACGGCTTATGTTGTGTGAGGCTGATGTTGTGTGTCCACGGCTGATGTTGTGTGAGGCTGATGTTGTGTGTCCACGGCTGATGTTGTGGCTGATGTTGTGTGTCCACGGCTGATGTTGTGGCTGATGTTGTGTGTCCACGGCTGATGTTGTGTGTCCACGGCTGATGTTGTGTGTCCACGGCTGATGTTGTGGCTGATGTTGTGTGTCCACGGCTGATGTTGTGGCTGATGTTGTGTGTCCACGGCTGATGTTGTGTGAGGCTGATGTTGTGTGAGGCTGATGTTGTGGCTGATGTTGTGTGTCCACGGCTGATGTTGTGTGTGGCTGATGTTGTGTGTCCACGGCTGATGTTGTGTGAGGCTGATGTTGTGTGTCCACGGCTGATGTTGTGTAAGGCTGATGTTGTGTGTCCACGGCTGATGTTGTGTAAGGCTGATGTTGCGTGTCCACGGCTGATGTTGTGTGTCCACGGCTGATGTTGTGTGTCCACGGCTGATGTTGTGGCTGATGTTGTGTGTCCACGGCTGATGTTGTGGCTGATGTTGTGTGTCCACGGCTGATGTTGTGTGAGGCTGATGTTGTGTGAGGCTGATGTTGTGGCTGATGTTGTGTGTGGCTGATGTTGTGTGTGGCTGATGTTGTGTGAGGCTGATGTTGTGTGTCCACGGCTGATGTTGTGTGAGGCTGATGTTGTGTGAGGCTGATGTTGTGTGAGGCTGATGTTGTGGCTGATGTTGTGTGTGGCTGATGTTGTGTGTGGCTGATGTTGTGTGAGGCTGATGTTGTGTGTCCACGGCTGATGTTGTGTGAGGCTGATGTTGTGTGAGGCTGATGTTGTGTGTCCACGGCTGATGTTGTGTGAGGCTGATGTTGTGTGAGGCTGATGTTGTGTGAGGCTGATGTTGTGTGTGGCTGATGTTGTGTGAGGCTGATGTTGTGTGTCCACGGCTGATGTTGTGTGAGGCTGATGTTGTGTGAGGCTGATGTTGTGTGAGGCTGATGTTGTGTGAGGCTGATGTTGTGGCTGATGTTGTGTGTGGCTGATGTTGTGTGTGGCTGATGTTGTGTGAGGCTGATGTTGTGTGTCCACGGCTGATGTTGTGTGAGGCTGATGTTGTGTGAGGCTGATGTTGTGTGAGGCTGATGTTGTGTGTGGCTGATGTTGTGTGAGGCTGATGTTGTGTGTCCACGGCTGATGTTGTGTGAGGCTGATGTTGTGTGAGGCTGATGTTGTGTGAGGCTGATGTTGTGTGAGGCTGATGTTGTGTGTGGCTGATGTTGTGTGAGGCTGATGTTGCGTGAGGCTGATGTTGTGTAAGGCTGATGTTGTGTGTCCACGGCTGATGTTGTGTGAGGCTGATGTTGTGTGAGGCTGATGTTGTGTTTTAAGTCCAACCGGCAACACTGGCAACTGATTAGCCGGCAACTGATTAGCCGGCAATTTCCGGCAGGTATTGCAACTTCTTCATGTACACCTGACAGCCAAGGGAAGTAATTATGAGACAGCCCCTGATTAGATGGCTTCCCCTTGTTTGTTTTTCATTTCTGCCAGCGGCCATTCTTTGACTGCAGCGCCACCTCTAATAAGGGAGTCTTAGGCCAACATGCTCACCAAGGAATCCAATGTACAATTGATTTTCTACAAGTCGACATACTTGTGACGTCACATGTGTACACTCGCGCTTGACGGCACAGCAAAATTATTACACAACTTTTATGACATGCCATTAGTGACATGACATTAGTGACATGCCATAAGTGACATGACATAAGTGACATGACATAAGTGACATGACATAAGTGACATGACATTTATGACATGACATTTATGCCATGGCATCTCTCCCCAGCCAACCCGCGCAAACAGCGCCGTGAGAGAACGACCTTCACCCGCTCCCAGCTCGATATCCTGGAGAACCTGTTCTCAAAGACCCGCTACCCCGACATCTTCATGCGCGAGGAGGTGGCGCTCAAGATCAACTTGCCCGAGTCACGTGTCCAGGTCAGTCTCACCCCCCCCCCCCCACACACACTCTCTTACTCTTTATGTGTGGGTGGTGCTTCTACTGACGGCAAATACCATGCTTCTACTGACGGCAAATAGCATGCTTCTACTGACGGCAAATAGCATGCTTCTACTGACGGCAAATAGCATGCTTCTACTGACGGCAAATACCATGCTTCTACTGACGGCAAATACCATGCTTCTACTGACGGCAAATAGCATGCTTCTACTGACGGCAAATACCATGCTTCTACTGACGGCAAATAGCATGCTTCTACTGACGGCAAATAGCATGCTTCTACTGACGGCAAATACCATGCTTCTACTGACGGCAAATACCATGCTTCTACTGACGGCAAATAGCATGCTTCTACTGACGGCAAATACCATGCTTCTACTGACGGCAAATAGCATGCTTCTACTGACGGCAAATAGCATGCTTCTACTGACGGCAAATACCATGCTTCTACTGACGGCAAATAGCATGCTTCTACTGACGGCAAATAGCATGCTTCTACTGACGGCAAATACCATGCTTCTACTGACGGCAAATACCATGCTTCTACTGACGGCAAATAGCATGCTTCTACTGACGGCAAATACCATGCTTCTACTGACGGCAAATAGCATGCTTCTACTGACGGCAAATAGCATGCTTCTACTGACGGCAAATACCATGCTTCTACTGACGGCAAATAGCATGCTTCTACTGACGGCAAATACCATGCTTCTACTGACGGCAAATAGCATGCTTCTACTGACGGCAAATACCATGCTTCTACTGACGGCAAATAGCATGCTTCTACTGACGGCAAATAGCATGCTTCTACTGACGGCAAATACCATGCTTCTACTGACGGCAAATAGCATGCTTCTACTGACGGCAAATAGCATGCTTCTACTGACGGCGAATGAGCCGAGTCAGCACAAAATTGCTGCAGTATTGAACCTCGCGTAAGCTCGGATTAGCCGGCTAAACCGGCTAAACCGGCGCTTATCTGCCGGCCAGGCCTTAACGGCCTTGAGTTTTCAAGGTCAGGTCTATGTGTACACATAGGCCAGCTCCACTAGCTAGGGTCACGTGAGAATAGGGTCACGTGAGAATAGGGTCACGTGAGAATAGGGTCACGTGAGAAAAGGGTCACGTGAGAATAGGGTCACGTGACAATAGGGTCACGTGAGAATAGGGTCACGTGAGAATAGGGTCACGTGAGAATAGGGTCAAGTGAGAATAGGGTCACGTGAGAATAGGGTCTCCTGCTAAAGTTTTGTTGTGACAAGTTTTTAGATCTCCTAAAGTTTTGTTGTGACAAGTTTTTAGATCTACTAAAGTTTTGTTGTGACAAGTTTTTAGATCTCCTAAAGTTTTGTTGTGACAAGTTTTTAGATCTCCTACTAAAGTTTTGTTGTGACAAGTTTTTAGATCTCCTACTAAAGTTTTGTTGTGACAAGTTTTTAGATCTACTAAAGTTTGTTGTGACAAGTTTTTAGATCTACTAAAGTTTTGTTGTGACAAGTTTTTAGATCTACTAAAGTTTTGTTGTGACAAGTTTTTAGATCTCCCCCCACCCCGCCCTCCAATCAAAGACCGGCGTGTCACCTGACGGTGCCGGAGACACGTGACCGACTGACCACGTCACCGCCATGACGACAGCCCCGTACAGCCCGTCACTGACCGCCGTGACGTAACTCGAGCAAACAGCACTTAGGGCAGCGCGGACGTCCCTGCCTGTTGACCCGGGGCGAGCTAATATTGACACGAGTCACGGGACTTGTTTGCCTCCTCTCCAGGCACGACCCCCACCCCCACCCCCTACGAGCACGACTCCCCCCCCCCCCCCCTTGACCAACTGGCCTGATTATGTGGATCACGTGATTTGCAAGACCCTGGTACAAACAGTTCCTGCCTGGTACAAACAGTTCCTGCCTGGTACAAACAGTTCCTGCCTGGTACAAGCCCCTACCCACTGACCCTCGACCACTGACCACTGACTATCGACCACTGACTATCGACCACTGACTATCGACCACTGAGTATCAACCACTGACTATCAACCACTGACCACTGACTATCGACCACTGACTATCGACCACTGACCAGCGACCACTGACCACTGACCACTGACTATCAACCACTGACTATCGACCACTGACTATCGACCACTGACTATCGACCACTGACTATCGACCACTGACCAGCGACCACTGACCACTGACCACTGACTATCAACCACTGACTATCGACCACTGACTATCGACCACTGACTATCGACCACTGACTATCGACCACTGACTATCGACCACTGACCACTGACCACTGACCACTGACCACTGACTAACGACCACTGACCACTGACCACTGACCACCACTGACCTGTGATATTCCCTGTTCCAGGTCTGGTTCAAGAACCGACGCGCCAAGTGCCGCCAACAGGCCAAGGCCGCTGACCAGAAAAAGAGCACCAACAGCGGGACAGCAGCCAACAGCAACAGCAACAGCAGCTCGGCCCAGAATGGCGGCACCACCAGCACCCCGCCCCCCAAGAAGGAGCTGAAGGCCTCCCCTCCCCCCGCCTCCGTCTCCCCAATAGACTACAAGCCGCCCGCCCCCTCCCCGCTCCTGCACCCCGTGACGCCGAGTCAGACGCGGAGGGACAGCGCGGATGTCTGGAACCCTGCCAACCCGATGTTCCAGCCCGACCTGAGCAGCTGCATGCAACGCCCGCACTACGCTCTCAGCAACGGTCAAGCTCAGTACGGGCAGCAGAACTACAACAGCTACCACCACTACGGCAGCAGCATGGACTCACCCTACTCGCTGCCCGGCATGCACGTCATGCCCGGCTCCCACCAGATGAGTAACGTCACGTCACAGCACTACCAGATGTCCGGCTACGGCGCCCTGCCCTCGGCCAACACGCTGCCCCGCCCCACCACACAGCCGCACGCCGAGTGTGCTGACTATAAGGACTACGTGCGCTTGTTTTAAAGCTGACCCCTGACCCCGCTAAACCATACCTCAGTTCAAACCGACCCATGACCCCGATGTTAGATTCATCGGTATCAGCTGGGAGGACAGCCTACAGCCGGCTGGGAGGACAGCCTACAGCCGGCCGGGAGTTTATCTGGATACTTGGTGGACTCTAGAACCAGTGGACTGCGCATGTCAGGGCGGAAGTGTCCAGACGATGACATCTCAGTAGATATGCAAATCTCGTGTGTACAAAATGGTTACACGTCATTGTTGAAGTCACGTGATCCATCTTCGAATGACGTGACAAGATATTTGTGTCGTCTTCATCCACTTTTCTAGGAAATTTTTGAGTCGCTATTTTTACCGTTTTTAATATTTGAGATCAACCTTTCTTCCTGAAGTTTTGACAAGGCGCTTGTTCTTCGCTATTCAATGTAACTACAAGGTCATTCTTGTTACCACAAGGTCATCCTAACACAGTGGCGTCGGGTGACGCAGCCCACCTTGTGACGCTACTGCTCCAGCTTCCTACACTTGCAATGTTGTTGTCATCCGTTTTACATTCCATTCCCATCTTCCTAAGTTGGACAACTTCCAATGTGTTGCAGCAGATTCTGGCTGGTTCTGGAGACAGTCTCCAGACGTTTTATGCCACGTGCCAAACGCTTCAGTTCCTTGAACACTTTTTAAAATACTCAAATAGCTGGGCCATCACACTATTTAGCTCAGCCATCACAGACATTTAGCTCAACCATCACAGACATTTAGCTCAACCATCCCAGACTTTTAGCTCAGCCATCATTGATAAGGCGGCTGTCTATGACCTATTTATACGTTTAAGTGCAACACCGGAAGTGGACTATGATTATGTTGCCCACGTGTTGAACTGACTGACCAATAAGTTTTTTACACCGGAAGTGGCCGAATCGACGGGTATATTCTTAAAGCGGAAGTGTGGCCACATGACCTTATAATCTATTTTTGGAGTGGCCAATATTTTATGTCGTGGGCGGGACCACTTCTATCAGCTAGACATTGGTAGCCACTGCTACTGGTAGCCACTGACTCGACAGAGATTTGAGAAATGTGCAATATTTGTTTAATTTAACATACGATTATCGGCTAATGAGCATATGGGGGGGGGGGCATAACAGCTGTATGTATATCCATATGTGGGCTATCCCAGCTGTATGTACATCTATATGGGGGGGGGGGTCATTGTGCGGATTAAATGTGTTGTTGTCAGCACGGTGGTAAAGGATGGTGTGGGTGTAGGTGATGTCGAATGATGATGTCGCTGATGATGTATATTGATGATGTCGCTGATGATGTAGATTGATGATGTAGATTGATGATGTCAATTGATGATGTCGCAGATGATGTAGATTGATGATGTCGATTGATGATGTCGATTGATGTTGTAGATTGATGATGTAGATTGATGATGTCGGTTCATGATGTAGATTGATGATGTAGATTGATGATGTAGATTGATGATGTAATGATGTCAATTGATGATGTAGATTGATGATGTCGCTGATGATGTAGATTGATGAAGTCAATGTTGCCAGATAGCTATATTGTAACATATGTAACATACGTGTCGGTAAAAATGTAGGTCATATTCTTTCTATGGGTGAGGGTCGGGTAATATTGAGGGGGGGAGGGGGTAATGCAGATATTCTATTTTTGGCCTACCGGAGCCATGATTGAATTGACGTGACCTACCGGAGACGTGACCTACCGGAGCCATGATTGAACTGACGTGACCTACCGGAGACGTGACCTACCGGAGCCATGATTGAACTGACGTGACCTACCGGAGCCATGATTGAACTGACGTGACCTATCGGAGCCATGATTGAACTGACGTGACCTGCCGGAGACGTGACCTACCGGAGCCATGATTGAACTGACGTGACCTGCCGGAGCCATGATTGAACTGACGTGACCTACCGGAGCCATGATTGAACTGACGTGACCTACCGAAGACGTGACCTACCGGAGCCATGATTAAACTGACGTGACCTACCGGAGCCATGATTGAACTGACGTGACCTACCGGAGACGTGACCTACCGGAGCCATGATTGAACTGACGTGACCATCATCACTATAGCACCAATGTGAGCCGTCGAGTGAGAGCTATACATGTTTACATGTGTGTCAAATAAAAATTATAATTGTACAAATAAAATGTGAAACAAAATACTGGTGTCTGACTTTTGCAAGCACACAACTGCACATCGGCACATCTTCACAGAAGTCAAGCGAAAAATCACGTGACACTAAACAGTCACCAGCAGCAGAGAATAGACTTGAAAAGCTGGTCACAAATGGTTCCAAGTGGTTCAAAGTGGTTCCAAGTGTTCCAAATGGTTGTTGCCAGAAAGCAAATTTTTCAACCTAAATGAAATATTTTATAACATTCATGAAATAAGTACAAAATGACTTCCTTTTTACTTTCTCGTATATACGAAGTATAGAGAAAGTCTTGTAATCGTGCAAAAAAAAAAAATCGAGATTTTTGCAAATCTCGACGTTTTACATCTCACTGATACGGAAAAACATAATTTTGCAATCTTGTCCGTATGTCTGTGTGTCCGTGTGTGTGTGTGTGTGTGTGTGTGTGTGTGTGTGTCCGTGTGTAAACACGATAACTTGAGTACCGTTACAGCTAGGTTGATGAAATTTCATATACAAGTATTATATCAAAATCGTAGATCCGTATCAACTTTTGAGCGATTTCGGATAACCGGAAGTGGTACTTTTTCTACTTTGAATTTTTCAAAAGCCTATAACTTGAGTACTATTTCAGATAGATAAATGAAATTTCACATGTAAGTAAAAGATCTAATTCTCTACCTTCTGTTAAATTTTGAGTAATTTCCGTTGACCGGAAGTAGTACTTTACGCTACTTCCGATTTCTCAAAAAACTAATGTAAATTTATAAAGTACTTATACTATTGCGCACTATTATACACACCTTTATTAGGCGTTCGCTTGGTGCGCAATTGTTTTTTACTGAGATTCTATTCTATTTTTAAAAGTTTCAGTATTTAAAATGGATTAAAGATCATAACTATATCCCCAGTTACCATCCCCTGTTGTTTTATATAAGAATATTCGAGAAAGTTTAGGGGAGATCACTACCGGTTTATTTATTAAGGCTAGAAATATGCAAACAAATAATTACTGGTAATATAATAGTAACGTAGTTAGCCTTTTAAAAAAATATTGGATTAATAGAGTTAGGGTGATGTGGTGGTAGGGGGTGTTATGTTATTTAATTGAAATAAACTGCTAGGCTATACCCCATTGACCGGCATTGTGTATCTTATCACGAAAACAATTGTTGTGACTTTCATTAATTTCTCTGGCCACCGTTCAAGGAGGGGTGGAGGGCGGTTTTCAAAAGTATCTCAGTTGGTAAATAATTCTAAAAATATTTTTCAATGGCTTATATCCAATACAAAAATATAAAATGAGTGTAATCGATGGTTCCCAAACGTATGATGACATAGACTTTTCATGCCTAGACCTACCATGCATCCTAATTTTCGAATTGTAGAAGTTTAGATAAAAATAAGAAAGAAAAAAACTTCCATATTTTTTTAATTTCGAAATTTTTGGTACCAAAAATAATAATTAAATTTAAAAAAATATTTTTGAATAAAAAAAAAACTTTTTTCCCAAAAACTTTTAAAATGTGGAGATTACGATAGGAAGAAGTGTGTAGTGTGTGTTATGTGAAACATGTGGTGTGTGTGGTGTGAGCAGTGTGGTGTTTGGTGTGTAGTGTGAGCAGTATGGTGTGAGAAGTGTGGTGTGTGGTGTGAGCAGTGTGGTTTGTGTGGTGTTAGAAGTGTGGTTTGTGTGGTGTGAGAAGTGTGGTTTGTGTGATGTGAGAAGTGTGGTGTGTGGTGTGAGAAGTGTGGTTTGTGTGGTGTGAGAAGTGTGGTTTGTGTGGTGTGAGAAGTGTGGTGTTTGGTGTGAGAAGTGTGGTGTGTGGTGTGAGAAGTGTGGTTTGTGTGGTGTGAGAAGTGTGGTGTTTGGTGTGAGAAGTGTGGTTTGTGTGGTGTGAGAAGTGTGGTGTGTGGTGTGAGAAGTGTGGTGTGTGGTGTGAGAAGTGTGGTGTTTGGTGTGAGAAGTTTGGTGTGTGGTGTGAGAAGTGTGGTGTGTGATGTGTGGTGTGAGAAGTGTGGTGTGTGGTGTGAGAAGTGTGGTGTGTGGTGTGAGAAGTGTGGTGTGTGGTGTGAGAAGTGTGGTGTGTGGTGTGAGAAGTGTGGTGTGTGGTGTGAGAAGTGTGGTTTATGGTGTGAGAAGTGTGGTGTGTGGTGTGAGAAGTGTGGTGTGTGGTGTGAGAAGTGTGGTGTTTGGTGTGAGAAGTGTGGTGTGTGGTTAGAGACTTCCACGCTCGAGTAACTTTTAGATAAATACCAGCCGCGTAACTTGATACTTGTGTGTGTGGTGTGGTGTGTGTGTGTGGTGTGGGAACATAGAGACACGGGAACATTGAGGGAACATAGAGACGGGACCTGCGAGGGAACAAGCGTGTAACCATGTGAAAAGAATGGCAGCCCGCCCCTCCGGTGAGGTTTTCTTGCGGTAAATGTCCCCACCATCTGTGTCGCGAGGTTTTGTTTGACTGCCGTCCTAATCTAACGGCCTCCTTCATGGCGCCTGCTGGCTCCGTCGACAGCTGAGGGGAAACAGATTTCGCCGGGATTGTGTATGCGTGTTCAAGTCGATATGCAAGATTTATTTCAGCTGGCAATCCATTTAATCCCGTCTTAGGCCCTCCATTGACTGAGTTCTCAGCCAATCAATGGAGCTGTCACGGGATACCATTGTCTAACCGACCAATCGTATTGATTCTAACATCAACACAACTTTCTCAATGACGTATGTTTCAAAACATCTCGGTATCTTTTTAATTTCGTTTTACCACCCACAGGAGGGTGGGGGGGGGGGGGGGGGAACACCCACGGGAGGGTGGGGGGGGGGGACACCCACGGGAGGGTGGGGGGGGGACACCCACGGGAGGGTGGGGGGGGACACCCACGGGAGGGTGGGGGGACACACCCACGGGAGGGTGGGGGACACACCCACGGGAGGGTGGGGGACACACCCACGGGAGGGTGGGGGACACACCCACGGGAGGGTGGGGGACACACCCACGGGAGGGTGGGGGGACACACCCACGGGAGGGTGGGGGGACACACCCACGGGAGGGTGGGGGGACACACCCACGGGAGGGTGGGGGGACACACCCACGGGAGGGTGGGGGGACACACCCACGGGAGGGTGGGGGACACACCCACGGGAGGGTGGGGGGACACACCCACGGGAGGGTGGGGGGACACACCCACGGGAGGGTGGGGGACACACCCACGGGAGGGTGGGGGACACACCCACGGGAGGGTGGGGGACACACCCACGGGAGGGTGGGGGACACACCCACGGGAGGGTGGGGGGACACACCCACGGGAGGGTGGGGGGACACACCCACGGGAGGGTGGGGTCACGCTGGTTGGTGCATCCATGGGAGGGTTTTCCATGGGGGGGGTGGCTTAAAAAGGGACAACCGTAGACGTAGTGATGGTGGGGTGGAGCTTTTCTTGGTGACCCCAGGAAAGGGCCAAAAACCCATTAGCCACTAGACGCTAAAAGCTTACAAGATGGCCCCATCCAGCATTAAGAAGATGGCCTATCCAACATAAACTAAAAAGATGGCCCATCCAACATAAACTAAGAAGATGGCCCATCAAACACAATAAACTAAGAAGATGGCCCATCCAACATAAACTAAGAAGATGGCCCATCCAACATAAACCAAGAAGATGGCCCATCCAGCATAAACTAAGAAGATGGCCCATCCAATATAAACTAAGAAGATGGCCCATCCAACATAAACTAAGAAGATGGCCCATCCAACATAAACTAAGAAGATGGCCCATCCAACACAATAAACTAAGAAGATGGCCCATCCAGCATAAACTAAGAAGATGGCCCATCCAGCATGAAGGTTGCCAGCAAGTCGATACAGCGCGGCTAATCCGGCCATCAGATGCCGTGTGGCTCGCGCTATCTCCGGCCGCCACCTTGGGCACCATGACAGGGAATAAACAGGGAGGGAGACACGTGACCGGGGGACTCGGAGGGAACTGGAGAGGACAGGGACTCGTTGTACTAGGGGGGAGGGGGGTGGAGATAAGGAGGGGTGGGTGTCGGTGGGTGGATGGTGGGCGGACGGACGGACGGACGGATAGACGGATGGACGGATGGACGGATGGACGGATGGATGGATGGACGGATGGATGGATGGATGGATGGATGGATGGATGGATGGATGGATGGATGGATGGATGGATGGATGGATGGATGGATGGATGGATGGATGGATGGATGGATGGATGGATGGATGGATGGATGGATGTATGGATGGATGGATGGATGGATGGATGGATGGATGGATGGATGGATGGATGGATGGATGGATGGATGGATGGATGGACGGATGGACAGATGGATGGATGGACGGATGGACGGATGGACGGATGGACGGATAGATGGATGGATGGATGGATGTACCGATGGATGGATGTACCGATGGATGGATGTACCGATGGATGAATGGATGGATGGATGGATGGATGGAGGGAGTGAGGGATGGATGTACCGATGGATGAACGGATGGATGGATGGAGGGAGTGAGGGAGGGAGGGAGGGAGGGTTTGTGTCAAATTGCTGACATTCCCCAGTTTTCCAGCCATTGATTTGCCCACTGGGTCTGCGGGCCACCTCGTGCAGACGCCAACAATGGGCCCATCACAACATCATTTGGCCTTTTTTTTATCCGGAGAAAAACTCATTTCAAAAATCCTTTGAAGGAAATGTTTTATCGACTGCGCTTTTCATCGTGGGCCGGGCCCGCGCGCCCACCGCAGCAGTTGTGACCAGTTTTCCAGCGCCCTCTGGAGAAGAACCGTCGGGAGCCGCGTGAATAAGTTCTCTGGATTAAGTTTTTCATTTGCTGGTGGGGGGCCATTCAATTCATCGTCTGCTTGGCCAGGCATTTCCATATTTCGGATGGTTCGAAGAAATAGATTCACCCGTACGGGTCAAAGGTCAGATAAACCACGTGGTGACAACATCCTGCTCCCACAGTTCGGCCGAGATGACGTCACTAATTAGCGGTA